GGTTTACACAAATGAGGGCGGTTTTCATATGATCACTCCTCTATATATATATATATATATATATATATATATATATATATATATTGTTGTTGTTGTTGTTTTCTTGATTGTTATATATGGTGTTTGTTGTATATATTTAGGTTCTGGATTGGTTTCAAAGAATACATACTACCATGGATTCTTTAGTGCTGCGATAAAGCTTCCAATGGGGATTACTTCAGGAGTGGTACTAGCTTTCTATGTAAGTAAGTACTGTCGTCAAGAACGATCATTGTCTCATCTTGTTTAAAGCCCTCGGTGTCATTCACGAGTCATTACAACAAAATCGACTTTTTAATTAAGCCGCAAAATATGTCTAAATACGTCCTAACATCCTATTGTAAGTTTTAACACCTTCACGTAGGATGCACAATTATTTGGTACTATAAAACAGTCTATTAAGACATTATATAAGACATATGAGACTTCTTATATGAAACCGTTTTTGTTGTAACGTGTCATACCAATTGAAAGCTGTAAATAGGTTTTTCGAGTCTTTGGTGTGAATGGATTGAACCAGCTATTGCTGTTTTCTAACAAGATATATGGTATGATTTGATTCTGTGGCATGCATACATGTTCAGATGTCAAATTCAGATGTATTTCCACATAACCATGACGAGATAGACTTTGAATTGCTTGGGCATGAGAAAAGAAGGCAATGGGTTCTGCAAACAAATATGTACGGAAATGGAAGTGTTAGAACTGGAAGAGAAGAAAAGGTGTACCTCTGGTTTGATCCCACACAGCAGTTTCATCAATACACCATCCTTTGGAACAGCCACCACATTGTGTAAGTCCTTCATGAACTTCAAACCCTTAAAATCGGCTTTATAAGACAGTCAACTATGTCTGAATATCCTCATTTGGGTCTATAAACTTAACTCTTATAAAGCAGTCTATTAGAACATTTAGATATATTTATCGTCCTTTAAAACTGATTTATGTTGTTGTGACATGACTAACCCCAACCCAGTTGTTCATTTCTAATGAACTAGTTTACTATCTTTTCAGGTTTCTAGTAGACAACATACCTGTGAGAGAGGTAATCCATAATCAATCCATCTCATCTGTCTACCCATCAAAGCCAATGTCGTTATATGCGACCATATGGGATGCTTCGGAGTGGGCTACGCATGGAGGAAAGTACCCCGTGAACTACAACTACGGGCCATTCGTGGCGTCTTTAGGAGAACTGAAAATCGAAGGTTGTATGATACAGAAAATAAGCTCCCCATTGGTGGTCGTATGTGCAAAGAATGCAACCCTTTCCAGCGTGGATCCCGTGGAAGGAGAAGATTATGCAACACTGTCGAAACAACAGATGGATGGATTGGATTGGGTTAGGAGAAAACATATGTTTTACTCGTACTGTAAAGACACGACACGATATAAAGTATTACCTATAGAATGTAACTCTCCCTAATTCTTTGTAATTTAGAAATCAAGGGTTCATACAATTTAAAGCATATCATGGTATTTGAAATATTAAAAAATTTAGACTAGTTAACGGACTGTTTAGCACAATAACCTTCGACATACACTCGTTTTGCAAAATGACCTCCTATTTTTCTTATTTTATTTTGATTATTTATATCTAGTAAATGACTAAACTACCCACCAACTAAAAACACTCATACATCAATCCGAGCACCTGCAACGCATTCAAGATACTCCACGATGCATGACGCAACAATGATCATCGATAAGTATTCCCCTTCTTGTTTCTTTAGCCCAACTGGCCCAATAGGCTAGTAAACGACGAATATAATTAAGGGTCGTTTGATTTTGGGCCACTTATAGAAAAATCCCAACGAGAAAACACTTGTACACATTTGCAACCAACAAAACATGATCAATAGCCGTCCAAATAAATTTACGGGCTTATAAAAACCCGATGGTACAAAAATGAAGGAAGCTAGAGAAGAACGTGTAACCATAAAACAACTAATCAAACCATTTTCAGTCATTTATCATCAAGTTACGTCTAAAAATTGAACAAAAAATGGTGTGATGACGATCATATGATGCACATAAAATTGAATGGTAGAAGAGTAAGGGAAGGGGCCCACCAAATAAAGGAGAGACAACAAATTTGGAAAGAAAATGGCATGTGAAAGCATGTGCGTTCCGTTCCCACCACCAAAAAAGGAAACCGTTTCGGTGCCAATCCATAATACTCTCGTCGCCACTCAATTTCAATTCAAGAACATGAAGACATCCAAATCGAGCTTTTTGAGATCCCAATTATTTGTTGATTTGGAAAAGTTAACAGTCTTATAATATCTCTATAATATTGATTTATACAAACGATCATGGATAATTTGAATTTGTACACGATCTAATAGATGGAGGTCTGAATCTTATATTCCTTCGTGCAACTCTAACAACCCTGGCAAAAAAAAACGTTATCTCGGTTGTTAAGGGTTGGATGGCGTCGTTGGCACTTGGGTTTTCTATAAACACGGATATTCCATTTCATAGTACAACAAAATTGGATTTATAGGATGTAAAATATGTTTAAATGTTCTAATAGATTGTTTTGAATTTAAGTTTATAACATCAAATAATTGTACGTTTTTATGTACAAATGTATGATAAGTTAATGGATGATTTCAGGTGTCCTAACAACCTTTTAGAACACTTTTGAGATAAAAGTATTATATTAATTATTTCTTTATGGAACATTAATTTTAAGAAGTATTTTATGAATACATCTTTTATAAGATATTTGTTTATATAAGACAATTTTTGAAATAAGTTCATATAAAACGACTAAAAAAACTTAATGTAACACATTTACATATGATCCACAATTATTTGGCTTTATAAACTTATTGATCGTTTAGCAAACGCTTACCAAGTCACTTATTGTCTAAGCATAACAAAACACCGAAAATCTTACCTAACAAGAGCCAAGAGGGAAGACAATGATCAAAAGTCTTACCAATTACCTTACTTGGTAACTGAAGATGGCTACTCTCACCTAGTAAATACTTGCTTCGTGATATTACCAACAATACATTTTAATGGCCATGAATGTTACGCAATAAGATAAATGTTGAACCGGTAAATATTTGGTAAACAATCTTTTAAAACATTTAAACGTATTTGATGTCTTATAAAACAATTCTTTTAAAATATTTAAATGAATCTAATTTTATTTTAGTCTCGCAATGTATATATAATTGTGGAATGTCATATCATCATTGTAATGTCAAATATTTAAAGGGTGTTTGAGATTGCTTATTTAAAATAACTTATGTTTTTTTTTTTTTTTTTTTTGTAAAAGTGCTTATTAACTTATGTGGTTTCAAACCGGAGTTTTGTAAAAAGTGCTTGGATTAGCTTATAGCGGTATCAAAAAACAATAAGCTGATAAATTGTTTTTTAGTGTTTGGTAAATTTTGCTTATATATGTAAAATGATCAAAAAAGACAGTCTTTCATATTATTGACTTATGAGAGTGTTTGTGATTACTTATTAATTTATTTGATTTTTTAACATGTAAAAATTTATTTTTCATCATTTATAATAATATATTTGACAAAAATTTATATGAATAAATTTATATCAATAAGATTAATAATTAACAAACATTAATAAAATATAGTGAAAATGGTAAACTGGTAATAAACAGTTTTTTAATAAGTCAGGAAGGATTAACTTATCAAAAACTGTTTATTACTGGTTTGACATCGGTATAAATAGTTTTATTTTTTTTTATCCAAACACTAGCATTTACCTTATCACCAATATCAGACTGAAATAAGTCAAAAGCACCTAAAATAAAGAATCCCAAACACCCCTTTTATCTGAATTATATGATTGGTGATATTTATCTTGTTTACAGTAAACTGCAAATTTGGTCCCTATTGTTTGTTGTTTTTGTGGTTTTGGTTCCTATGAAATTTTTATTGTAAACCCTCATGGTATGCAAAAGTTTGTGGTTTGAATCCCTACCTACTAATCACTATTAAAAGAATTCGTTAAAGCAGGGTATTGTGGTTATTTTACTGTTAAATTTAATTTTGTATTAAAAGATTAAAAGAAAACACAATATTAGAGTTGAGTTCCGATCAGAAGAAAAATTTAGATGAGAAACGTAAAATGACTAGATCAATTTCCGTACCAAATATTATTCATAAATGAATTTGAAATTAAAGGTTTATGGACCGTGATTTGTTGACAACCACCGCTACCCCAAACGGCTACACTTTTCTGGCTTCCATCTCCGCCCAAACCTTCTTCTCCGACCACACACCAGCAACCCCCTGTGCCGATCATCTCCAATTTGCTTCCGGCCACCACAAACAACCGCCTTTCTCCTCACTACTGATCTGGAATGTTGGGGTGAACCAGAAAAGTTTGGGTAGAGCCGGATCTAAGCGTTGGCTAGGTAAGCGCCCTGTAGTAAGAGGAGTAGTTATGAACCATGTAGACCATCCACATGGGGGTGGTGAAGGAAGGGATGCTCAAATTTGCTTACGGCCACCACCAGCAACTACCTATCTATGAGCCCTAAAACCTTCTGGATCTTATCTCTGTCAGGTGGTCTGTTTAGTAGCACCGAGAAAAACCTTCTCGATTTTGCTTGTTTGGGTTGATGCGTAAAAGGGGAGACAACGAAGAGAGAAATAACAGGTTTGAACGGTCAAGATTTGTGAGGTTTAGTGGGGTTTCGATATTGAGCATCAATTCTTAATGGGCTTTTGTTTTGATTAGGTTTTGATTGTGTTTTGAGTATCGATTTTTTGTCTGGGTTTCGATTTTGAACCTAGATTTTGAACTTGTACCCAAATCTAGATTTTCATTGTATTCAAAGCAGGAGGATGATTGTGTTCTGACATGGTTTCGATTTTGAACCTGGATTTTGGTTTGCTGGTGTAGGGGCGGTGAAAATAGGAGATGCAAAAGAAGAGGAGGGAACCTGGAATGATGGTGGTAGTCGACATTCAGCATGGAGGAACAAATTGACGGTGAGGTTGAACATGGTTGGCGGAGCAGCGATGGGGTTCCGACAATCATAAGAGCAGTGCCGTCCCGGGGAGGGCGGCACGGGCGCACGCCCAGGGCCCAAAAATATCAGGGGTCCGAAATTTTCCTTTACAAAATATAATAGTAGTCTAAAAGAATTTAATGAATTAAAGAAACCCACAAAATTGTAACATATAATAAGAAGCAAAAAAATATTAGTACATAATAAGGCCCAAAAATATTTCAACTAATTATATCGGAGTAGAAGATAAAAAAATTAATTTTTTTTATCTTCAACAAGGTACAATGATATTGGTTATTGTTATCTCTATATGCTTGGTTGTTTTCATGCTTCAACAATTCAACAGTAAGATCATGTGCTTGTTATTGCTATATATTTTTGTTGGATATTTTTATCAATTTCTGCTTCTATTGACTATTGCTATTTGGTTATGTTGTTTTAATTGTTTTTGTTGAGTATTGTTATCTATTTTTGTTTCTACACAAAATATTTTACTATTGTTTGACAATCAATCTATTGTTATTATAATTTATGACGTGTTTCATAGTTTTGTGATTAATCAATAATTTTTTCTACTAGATATATTTAGTAATGTCTCTTATATATATATCATGTTCAATAAATTTTTAATCTTAACATCTTATTTTAGTTGAGCAAAAAAAGAATGAGAATAAAATTTAAATATTTTCATCAATTGTTTGACTTATATATCTTTCATTGGGATTCGACCGCACTACAAGATTCTATTTAAGTACTTAAACAATCATTTGTTGAGCTTGCATATTATATGTTTAATTCATTATTTATTTTTATTAGATCTCAATGAATCATTTTTTCTTTCATATTCTTATTAATCCTTATTTGTCTACTTGTCTAGAAAACCTTGATAATCTTCTTTATTATTGATCTCTCATTGACCCTCACGATTACTTCATTCACACGAATTCTCATTTTTTTTATTATCAAAATAACAAATATTTCTTGTTATAAACTAAAAAAATCCTTACTTTTTTATAAAAATTTATCAACCATAGATTTTATACTTTTGGTTTCAAATTACCTAATAAAAAATACGTAAATTTAAGTAACCACAAGGGTGGTGCCTGATTGGTTTGAGTTTGGCTCCAAATGTCAAAAGTGTATGTAGGTCCCATGTTCAAATCCAAAAAAGAACAAAAATCCTCTTGTGGTCACGGAGGTTCAAATGCGGTGGGCCTTGTTTTTATGTTCGCCCAGGGCCCATAAAATGTCAGGAACGGGCCTGGATAAGAGCAGCGTTAGGGTTCCGGGCACGGACATGGCATGGAGTAGGGATGTTCAAAAACCCGACCAAACCCAATCAACTCAACCCAACCTATCACGAAATAACTCAACCCGAAGCAACTCGATTTCTAATCGAGTTGTAAAATTTTCAAACTGTAGGTATTGAGTTACTATTATTTGAACCCAACTCAATTCGTTGAACCCGAT